GCGGTTTGTTTGTGTTGTGTGATTGATTTCATCTCACCTTCACTGTGTTCTGTGTTTTGCCATCGTGTCTGGAGTTTCATATCACCTTCCCTGTGTTCTGTGTTTTGCCACACCCTTTGTTTCGACCTCACTGTGTTTCGTTTCGCCGTCATTATCTTGTACAAAGTTATGTGTTTCACTGTTTGTGCGTTAGCTGTCTGTTTGTTATAACTGCGTTTGCGTGTTTTTTTCTAAGATTTCTTGTTGTTTATTCGTCTGTGTATTTGTTGAACGTTCAATCTGTATTACCAGTGTACATGTATTTGTTTGGTTTATTAGAGCGATGATTATTTATGTGTAATCAGAATTGGTTATTTTTAGTTGCGTAATATTATTACCTCGAATGTGTTATTAATTTGGCGAATGTGAACGTTCAGTTAACCATCGTAATATTTAAATTTGAAATATAACTGAGTTGTTTTTTCGTTTCATCATCATCATCATCGTCATCATCTGCTATCTGCCAGCCCATAGCCGCAATAGCTAGTCACTAAGAGCCTCCATTTTCTTCTATCTTTTGTAATTTTTTCGGCTTCTGCGATGTTCGTGTTATTTATTTTGAAGTCATCTTAGATGTTGTCACTTCAAGTCTTTTTTGATGATCTCTTCTTTTCTTACCCTCTACATGTTGAATAAGGCTCTATAAGGCTCTGTATGATAATTTCTCTAAGTTCATCCTGTTTAAATGTCCAAACCAAGTTAATCTTCTTTTTCAGATTTGTTCTATTATGTTGCTCTCTTCACCAAATTTTTTTCTGATGTCGTTTCTTATTTTTTGGATTCTACTTACACCCACGACAATTCATTTTGGCTGCTAAAAGTATGTTTTTTTTAATTATCCAAGTTTCTGATTCATTGATCATCTGTGGAACAATGACGGAACAATGTTTTATATTTTTGTTTTGGTTGATAAACTTCTATCTTTTGCTTTCCATATATGTTTTAAGCGCCCCATTGTTTGTAGAGTCATGCTTATTTTTCTTTTTATATCTTCCTGGTAGCTTCCGGTGCTTGTTATCTTTCCACCCATGCATCTTTCCACTTTTTCAGTACATCTGAATTTTGGGGGTTTTCTCTTTTTCTGATATTTTACTGGCATCACCTTTATTTTTTTGTGTTAATAGTTAATCCAAATTTTTTACTTCCTTCGTTGATTCTTGTGGTAAGGTTTTGTAAAAGTTTTTCATTTTCTGTCAGTAATCCAACATCGTCTGCAAACTTTAGATTGCCTGCCAAAGTTCTTCATGCTATACTGAGTCGAAAACTTGTTTATAATATATAAATTTGATAAAACAGGTTTCGTTTGCATCAATATACTTTTCCATTATTTGTCGAAGAATAAATATTTGATCAATATAGCTTCTGCTTGGACAAAATCTGCTTAGTCTTCCCCTATAATTGTTTCAACATAATTCTGTAGTCTTCTCTGCAACATTTTAGTGTAGACCTTGCCAGGTATGCTTAACAATGTTATCCCTCTGTAGTTTTTACAATCTGTCTTATCTCTTTTCTGTTTCTATATAGTAATGATTTCTCCTTTTCCCCAGTCCGCAGGTATCATCTCTTAGTGGAATATTTTTTGAATTAGTTCATGGTGTGCTTTAATTATTGTCTTCTCTCCCCCTTTAAGCATTTCTGTTTTTATTTCATCTATACCTGGTGCCTTATTTTTTTCAGGTCTTTTATGGCTCTTTCTATTTCTTCTTCGAGTAAATTTTCTGTTCTTATTTGTTTTCCATATTTGGAATTTTTTTCAGACTTTTGGTTTCTACTTCCAGTTTGCGGTTGTCAAGGTTTTCAAAATATTCTTTCCATTTTTTTATAATTTTTTTTACAGTCTGTTAATATCTTCCCATCTCTATCTTTTAATGTGGTTAGTTTCATTGTATAAGTACCAGTAAGTTCCTTTGTTCTTCTGTATGCTTCTTTTGTTCTGTTATATTTAAAATGTTGTTGAATCTCTACGCATTTTTGTTTTATTCAGTTGTCTTTATCTGTTTTTAATTTCTTTTTTATTTGTTTTGTAATACAGTTTATCTATTTGTTTACCATCAGCCTTTAATAATCTCAACCGTCTTCGTTCATCGCTGCTTTATACCATCTCTTCCCCATCGTTTTTTCTATTATCTTTACAATTTATATTATATATTATCTATTATTTTAATTCCAAGTACTGTATTAGCATTTTCAATTACAGCGTTTTTTAATATTGACCAACGTCTTTGGTTAATCTCTTTAATTTTTCTTAGATCCTTTCTTCATATCTGTTTTTTTTATCATGGAATTCTCTAATTTGCCTTTATCCAGTTGAAGTTGCTGAGGAATGTTCCATTTAAAATTATTCCCCTTTTGTTGTCGGATTATAAATTTGACAATTTAAGACGAATAGAAATAATTTTATATTATTAACCAAACAAAGGTAAAAAGGGAAGAAGAAAAGTAAAGCAAAGAAGTAGTAGTAATAATATATTAAATTAAAACATAGTTATTAATATTATTAATAAAACTAATTAAAAATGTTATTGTTTAAAATAACTGTATATATCTAATCCCCTACAAAGTCTACCAGAGGTTTTATCTTCTTTTTTAGTTTCAATTTTAGTTTTGCCATGATTAGTTTGTCATATCAAATTTCTGCATCAATGCTGTTGTACCCCAGCACGAGATTTTTTAGTTTAATGTTAACCAATTAAACGTTTAATGTTAAGCGATTAATGTGTTTCGTTTTCAAGTTCTTGTTTTTTCTTTATGTTACAACAGTCGTCAATTGGACGCGAGTGGCCTAGTCATAACTTCTGTTGTTTGTAAATTCATTTCTATTCTACATGTTACCTGTATCATGTGTAATTTGGAATTCGTGGTGTGGTGCCGAACGTAGGTGAGTTAAGTTTCAGTGTAGTACAATTTCGTTGCTTTGATCGTTCCTGTTTATAATTCAGTGTATAAAATCGTAAGCCATTGTTGTGCGTTCTTCTTGCTATCCCTAGCTTTTTATTTAACTAGTCAGTAGACATACGGCATTAGCCGGGTTTGCAGAGTTATTTGTTAGTTACGCTTGCATTAAGTAACGCACTCTCTGTTTTTTAGGCAACTGCGTTAGAATTTGAGTAGTTTGTCGCTAGTTGTAGTTTAAGATTCGTTGACAGAGTAGTGGTCGGAATTTGTAGTACCATTTGCAGGATACATAAGGGGCTCACAAGTGGGTAGGTTCGACGTATTGAGTGTTACGGGATTTCGTGATAACTGATCGCAGATTCGATTATTTTGTAACTGTTATTTACGAAATCGATTTACGATTTATATTTTTTGTGACATTGTCGATAGGGGGTTCGAAGATAAGCAGTTTTTTTCCAAGTATTAATTGCGTTATAGGACAAATTAAATTTTCGTGTACAATAATTGATTGCTTTGTTAATAAATCATTATTAAATCGGAACTTATGAGTTGTTTATCGAAACGGACTACACACACACATATTTAGATTAGCAGGTGAAAAATTCCATAAAAACGGACAAGAATAAGCAAAAGCAGATTTAGTATATGAGTTTTTAACAATCAATCAATCTTCGTTTTGCGTTCAGAGTCCCGGTTCCCCGAGGTAGGACGTTGTTTTCTTTGCCATCAACTTTTTGCGCCAAATTAGACGATCAGTTGCATCCCTTTCATTTAAATTTAGAGTATTCATGTCTTGCACGATTGTTTGCGACCAGGACTTCTTTGGACGGCCTTTGGGACGTGTGCCAGGTACTTCAACATCTGCAAGAGAAGTTATGGCACTGTTTCTACTTCGTTTGACATGACCAAACCACCGCAGACGGTGTTGCCGGCTTTCGTCCTTTATATCATCTAAACAAACACGACGCAGGTTTTCGGTGGATTTGATGTGGTCCTTCAGACTAATTCGTTGCATCCATCGGAGCATTTTCATGTCGGTTCGTTGAAGTTGTTGTTCCAGTTTGGTTGTCATTGGCCATGTTTCTGCACCATGTAACAACACCGGACGTACCACAGATTTATAAAGTCATGATCGTAGTGGTAGTGGGATGTCACGCCGCATTAATATAGAGGCAAGGATAGGCCATTTATTCCAGGCTGCACGTATGCATGCTCGAACGGCAGCTTCAGTTGTTCCAGTACAATCCAGAACATATCCTAGATATTGAAACGATGTGACTTTCTCTACCTTAATGGCTTCAAAAACATTGCTATTTCGAATTTGTTGTTGTGGATTGATGCAAGCAGGACAAACAAAATTAGATAAAGTACCAATTATTTTTGAACAACGTTTGTGACACCACTGGTTACACTGCTGACACTTGATTGAATTGTTACCTACACCAGCTTTACAAACTGAACAGGGCCATCGTCCAGTAGCTGTGGATTGGATGGGTTCTTCAGTGTTCATTGCTTTGGTTTTGCTGATGTTGACTTTGAATCCATGATCGGCGAGTCTGGTGTTCCAATTTTCAAACATTCTGCTCAGACGTGGCTGTTAAAACGATATCATCAGCATATATTAGATTCCAAATGTCACCAATGCGTATCGGTTTTGTGATTTCTTCCATCACAGTTATAAATAACAGTGGACTGAGAATCGAGCCTTGGTGAACTCCAACGCCGATGTCAAATGCATCTGTGTTTCCAACCGTTGTGCTGACAAGAGTCTTAGTATTTGTATACATTTCCATCACAAGTCGAACAAGATATTCTGGAATGAGTTGTCGACGTAGACTCCACCTGATTGTTTCACGGGGAACTCGATCAAATGCTTCTTAAAGGTTTTCAAAAATGTGTGATAGTTGTTGATGCTTTGCGAGGTATTTCTCTTGCAGTTGCCGAAGGATGTGAATTGCATTAATTGTTGATTTTCCCGCTAGGAAACCAAATTGATAATTTCCCATTGTGATGCACGACATTAATCTTCTCTCAATGATTTTCTCGACAATTTTCAGGGAGTGTTCTAACAGACGTATACCCCGATATGATGAACAGTTTAATGGATAACCTTTGCCTTTGTATAGCGGGACTGTCATGCTATAGTTCCATTCAGTCGGCATTGAGCAATTTCTCCAGATTTCACGGCAAAGTTGTAGTAACGTTTGGATACCTGCAGTTCCAGATGCTTTGATAATATCATTTGTGAGTCCCGAGGGCCCTGCTGCCTTTCCATCCTTCATAGCTTTCAGAGTTTTTGTAAGCTCCTCTACAGTGATGTCTGAATTCGGACCTTCGATGGGTGGAGCGTCAAAGTTAACATTGATGGTATTTGTTTCGTTTAACAGACGGTTGAAGTATTCTCTCCACTGTAGCTTGATCTCATCTTGTTCAAGAACCATCTTATTTTTGTCATTTTTGATACATGAGGCACCGACTATGTCTTTTTTCGTACGCTTTGTTTTTTTTGCTATACGATACAGAGATTTCATTTGTTCACCTTTGCTTTTAGTGAGCCACTCTCTGCACTGATTTGTCCGAGCCGGTGCAACTTGACGTCTTGCATAGTTGTTCTTCTCACGGAAAGATTTGTAACCAGGACTGTCAACATATTCAAATCAAACGACCTTAGGTGTGCACCTGCCTGACGCAGTAAATTCCTCTTAATTTTGTCTTGCAGATACACTGGATCATTACCATTAAGCGTTTTATACATCAAAACTACAATCTTGTACACTGTTCCTTATCAGCTGTCAGCCAATGCAACCCTTTTTAGTATAGGCGTCACATGATCATTCCACAGACCACCAACCACAACCTTTGCCGCACGATTTTGTATTGACTGCAAGATGCAGGTGGATTTGTCAGGCAAACCATAAAGTAAACTACTGCAGTGGACAAAGGCATGTACCAGAGTCTGATTAATTTTTCTGATCTAATACGTGCAATCTCTTGACAACATCTTGATATAGTACTCAAATGTTAGATTTGAATTAAACACATCACCCAAGTTGATTGCATTGTTACAAAACGAAATTCTTTCACTGTTCACTTTAACTGAGTTCATCTCCAATCCTGCCAAATGCTGCCATGTTCCAACCAGTAGAAGTTTAGTTTTATTTTAAGTTTATTATGTAGACTGTGTGTGTTCTAGACCATATTATGTAGAGTGTTGTATTACGTTGTGACGCCAGTTTGCTATCGTTATATTGCGTCGAACCACGCTTCGATATAGAAACAGGAAACTAACAGATCACTGGTTTAATGCTCGCGTATCGACTCGATTATTGTTAAATAAGTTACAATGTGATGACGATTTAAATTGTTGACTTATAAGACTTTATTGTTAGGTTAGTTACGTTAATTAGAAATTTTATGTTGAAATAAATTAAACACGAACTCACCCATTTTGGTTTGACAAATTTTTATTCGAAGTTAAAAAAATAATATTGTTAATAAATAAAGGTTAAATTGAAGGCGCAGTAGTTAGACTAGAGATAGGAGACTTGAGAACCAAGAGAACCTTGAGATATCAGACCTAAGATATAAAATTTTTTTGTTTGATTCTGCATCACCTTATATAGGTGAGAGCGGTAGTTTGTGCTTGTGTATTCGCCCAATAATCGCGTATGCTCAGATGGTTTTACATTGGTCTAATTACCTCGTCTATACTTCCATGGGAAATAGTTTGTATGTAAGAAGTGGTAAATTACGCTAAAAGCGCTACTGAATCATAGACAAATAAGACGAACGTTCATTGTGCAGATAAAAATTTTTTAAGTTGACTTCGAAATTGTAAATATGGTAGGTTAGGGTCACGTAAGTAATAGGCAAACCATTCCAAACAACCGACCCAAAAACCGCAAAGTTGCGGGGACCCGTCGCTAACTTTGTAGTCGGATAAAAAATAAATTGCGCTCGGTTGATCGGAAATAAAATTTTGAAAAATGAGATTTGTATGATTCCAATTTCAATCAATTTAGTAGATCGTAAAAGTGTCAAAATTTATAATAATAATATATAGATCAATCAATTTTCGTTTTGCGTCCAGAGACCCAGTTCCCCGAGGTAGGACGTTGTTTTCTTTGCCATCAAATTTTTGCGCCAAATTAGGCAATCAGTTGTATCCATTTTGTTTAAATTTACATCTTTCATGTCCTGCTCGATTGTTTGCGACCAGGACTTCTTTGTATGGTTTTTGGTACGAGTGCCAGGTACTTTAACATCTGCAAGAGAAGTTATGGCACTGTTTCCACTTCGTTTGACATGACCAAACCACCTCAGACGGTGTTGCCGGCATTCGTTTTTTTTATCATCTAAACTATGAAGAGTGGTAGTGGGATGTCACGCCGCATCAATATAGAAGCAAAGAGACGCCATTTATTCCAGGCTGCACGTATGCGTGCTCGAACGCCAGCTTCAGCTGTTCCAGTACAATCCAGAATATTTTCTAGATATTGAAACGATGTGACTTTTTCTGCCTTAAGGACATCAAAAACATTGCTATTTCGAATTTGTTGTTATTGATTGATAAAGTGAGTTAGTGAGTCGATAAATAAAAACTGGTTGTGTGAATGATAAAATTTTATTAAATAAAAACTAGTTATGTGAATGATAAAGTTTTATTGAGTGTTAATATGGTTGAGGTGTTTTGTGATGTAAGTCTTTTTTTGATATGTAGATTGGGTGGCGACTTGATAGTTATGTTTGCTATGTTCTACTAAACATCGCCGACATTGATAACTTCTCCACCAGTTTTTAGTCATTAATATACAATTACTTTGCATTAACCTACAATCAATCAATCTTTGTTTAGCGTTCAGGCACCCAGTTCCCCCGAGGTTTGCCATCAATTTTTTGCGCCAAATTTGGACGTATCACAGATTTATAAAGTTTTGATCGTAGTGATAGTGGGATGTCACAGTATGGGATCGTAGTGGTAGTGTCAGGACAAACAAAATTAGACACTTTAGATAAAATACCAATTATTTTTGAACAACGTTTGTGACACCACTGGTTACACTGCTTACACTTGATTGAATTGCTACCTACACCAGCTTTACAAACTGAACAGGGTCATCGTTCACAGTTATAAATAACAGTGGACTGAGAATCGAGCCTTGGTGAACTCCAACGCCGATGTCAAATGCATGTGTTTCTAACCGTTGTGCTGACAAGAGTCTTAGTATTCATATACATTTCCATCACAAGTCGAACAAAATATTCTGGAATAAGTTGTCGACGTAGACTCCACCTGATTGCTTCACGGGAACTCGATCAAATGCTTTTTCATGGTCTACAAAAATGTGTGATAGTTGTTGATGCTTTGCAAGGTATTTCTCTTGCAGTTGCCGAAGGATGTGTATTGCATTAATTGTTGATTTTCCCGCTAGGAAACCAAATATATAATTTCCGATTGGGATGCACGACGTTAATTTTCTCTCAATGATTTTCTCGACAATTTTCAGAGAGTGTTCTAACAGACGTATACCCTGATTTGATGAACAGTTCAATGGATCCTCTTTGCATTTGTATAGCGGAACTCTCATGCTATAGTTCCATTCAGTCGGCATTCAGCAATTTTTCCATACTTCCCGACAAACTTGTAGTAACGTTTAGATACCTGTAGTACCAGATGTTTTGATAGTGTCATTTGTGGGTCCAGAGGGCCCTGCTGCCTTTCCATCCTTTATAGCTTTCAGAGCTTCTGAAAGCTCCTTTACAGTGATGTCTTGAATTGGACATTCGATGGGTGGAGCGTCAAAGTTGACATTGATGGGATTTGTTTCATTTAGCAAACGGTTGAAGTATTTTCTCCACTGTAGCTTGATCTCATCTTGTTCAAGAACCATCTCATTTTTGTCGTTTTTGGTACATGAGGCACCAACTATATCTTTTTCGTAGGCTTTGTTTGTTTTGCTATACGATACAGAGATTTCATTTGTTCACCTTTGCATTTAATGAGCCACTCTCTTCACTGATCTGTCCGATCCAGTGCGACTTGACGTCTTGCATCACGGAAAATTGTATGGTCATCAAAAGACTTTGATTTTTGCCATTGCTTGTATGCAGCTTTCTTTTCAGCTATTGCATTTTGTACACTGTCATTCCACCACCAAGTGTCCCGTTCATGCTGACGTTTTGTACCAATTTTCCCACAAACTGTAGTGGCAGCGTTTATCAAAACAGTTTTGTATGTACTCCAATCTGTACTGGCTTGCGATTGGTGGTGTGTGTTGCGACAAAGTGTTGAAACTTATCTCGATGAATATTGCGTTTCAGCTACCACGTTTTGATTCTCCAGACATTTGTTTAGATTTATGTTGTGACAGTTTGACAACCAGGTCTGCCACAAGGAGTCTATGTTGGGCGACACATGATTCGCCAGGTATAACTTTGACATTTTTGAATAGCCTTCTTTGTCGTTGCTTGACAGCGAAGAAGTCATTTGCGTGGTTGATTACCACTTTTATATCTTATGAGATGTTCCAACCTCTTTCTAAAATATGTGTTCAGTAAACAAAACCCGTGACTTTCAGCAAACTCAAGGATGCTGTTGCCATCTTCATTCCGTTCTCCATAGCCAAAACCGCCATGTACGTTGTCAAAACTATTTGTTTTTTCTCCAACGTGGCCATTGAAATTGCCTCCAATCAGAATTGTTTCAGATTTTGGTATTGTTGAGATGGTGTCAGAGAACGCAGCCCAGAAGTCATTTTTCATCTCTTCTGATTCGCCTGTCTGGGGTGCGTATGCAGAAAAAAAGTTATTTTTGTTTTTTTAGGCTAAGCTTGAACCACATGAGACTTGAGTTATTCTTTTTAATATCCAGTACAGTAGCGGTTCTTTGACAAAACTTCCAACACCATTTTTGGCCGTTAGTTTAGGTATATTTTTTTTGTCTGAGTTGATATGACAGATACTATTCGATTTCCATCGGGTCTCCTGAAGGCAGCAGATGTCAATCCTTCCACGCTCGAGCTTTTCTGCGATTTTCATGCTGCGGCCAGTCAGTGATCCAACATTACATTGGGCGTTTTAAGTCTAAGTACCATAGAGGGGCCATTCTGAATTTTTCTGCAACATTCAACAATTTTTAGTACCCCTTGGCCACTTAAGGCCTGCTGGGGACTAGGGGCCGTTTTTTTTTGGTTGTGATGGCATAGAATAATTTTGGGGAAATTTTTTTACATCCGGACACCCATCCTGACGATAACCACCAGTTATAAGCGGTGGGCCTAGCTTTTTGCTCAAAAGCACGCAAGGCAGCGTGGATGCAGTTTTATATCATGCCCAGGACATAAGAATCATCAGCATAAAGTTGATTATTGAAAAAAAAATGATTTTTTTTACCAGACAATTCAGATTTATAAAGTATAAAAAAAGAAAAAAAAACTATTACGGATAATGGATACCATAATAAAATTAAAAACGAACATGATCACTTTGGTGAAGATGAAATAAATTTTGTAGTTTATCTGAACCTGTTTATAGATTCATACGATTATATAAATGCGTGAACGTCCACAAACAATTACGAAGACTTATTGTGGAGTTTTAAAGAGAACAGCCAAGTTAGATGTAGAAATAGTACGTTTGCGTACTATGTTAAATTTCTTAAAATTAATAATAAAAATAAAATAAAAACTTATGTAAAACATTATTTTATTAGATTTATAAAAAATGTCGGCTGAAAGATTTTTCCAGTCAAACAATTTTCCGTGTAATTTTGGCTTTATAAAATATGTCTCTCAATTTATTAATGTCATCGATTAATGCGGCTCTGGAGCAACTGCTTTCTCGCGGTGGAACCGATTGGACCGTCAAATCAGTCGTTCCAACAAACGGTTGCAACAAAACTCTTCCCACCTGGATGTCCACGGGGGTTTTGTCGACGGGGCGGGCCATTCTGGCCATCCTGCTCCGTTGCCTTTTTCTGAGAACCGGAATTGAACCAAACCCAGGTCCCCCAAAGATCTGGATTTGCCCTGGATGCTATCATAAAATCAACAAAACCCAATTTTCAGCCCATTGCAAAACCTACAACTGGCATCATTTCAACAACTGGACAACCAACATCAACGGTTATTACAACTGTAACAACTGTCGACGGCGCCGATTGATATCTCACGACGGCCTACATCGACATCAACATCATCAAGCAACAACTATTCCCGTAACAAACCATCAACAACCCAAGCTACAAATGCTGGACAGTTAAATTTTTTTCAACTCAACAGTAACGGCATCAAAAAAAAATATGAAGAAATTCAACAAAATTTAATAGACCACAGCATTCACATCGCAGCCCTCCAAGAATCTAAGCTGTCTTAAAGCTCCAAAACGCCAGTCTTCAGGGATTACGCGATTTACCGCAAGGACCGAGGAAATGGTCGAGGGGGTAAGGGTTCTTATTAAAACTCATCCACAACAGCATTCTCTTCAGCATAATGTCACTACCCAATACTCCCACAATATAGAGTCAGGCCATCATAATCAAAGCGGGCGGCACAGATATCAACATTGTCAACATCTACATCCTCCCTCAATCAGTTTGCCCAACTGGCTTCTCAGTTTCAATTTCACAATTCCTATCAATACCGAACGTCGTTTTGTTGGGAAACGTAAACGCACATGATCCCCTGTGGTATTCAAGTATTCTAGCCAGTGAAATCAAAAATTTTTGCTGCGGCACGCTCAACCTGGATACCCCGACGCGTCTCTCAACATCCGGCCAACCCTCATCACCAGATATCTCTGTCGCCTCGGACACGTTGATCATAAACATGGAATGGTCCGCGATGACTTCACTCTCATCTGATCATCTTCCAATTCACATCAATCTACAAACAACAATTCAACACTTTCGCTCACCAAAAGTAAAATTCATAAATTTCGCTAAAGCTTATTGGGATAGTTTCACTGCTGAATCCGAAGCCGTTTTGTCCAATCTAGTTTTCCCTCCTAACCTATCAGTTGCCAAAAATCGTTCTTTCGTATTCTACAGGTCGCAAGTGACCACAACATACCTTCCGGTAGACGAGTTTCATATACTCCAAGTCTATCGAAAGAAATCATTGGACTAATAAAAAGGCAGGATGATATCAGAACAAAAGATCGTACATAAAAAGACATTGCAATACTATCATTAACAATTCAACATAAAATCAATGAACTCAAAGCAATCGCGTTGGAAGGATTTCCTGGGCACCTTCAACAAAATAACAAACACAAAACGCCTCTGGAGTACTATTAAAACTCTCAGCGGCAAACCAATTCAATACTCAAATATTGCCATCAATTTCAACAACAGGTCAATAACCTGCAAATGGCCAATCTATTCAACAAACTGTTCACCTCTGCAACAAAACATTCGACAAACAAACAAAATAGAATCATCAACAAAACCGTCAAGAAACTTCAACTTGACGATCACTCTACCATCACACCTAATCAGGTTGCAGAAGCAATTAGTACATCAAAACCGTCCAAAGCAACAGGGCCGGACAACCTGACAATATTCTACCTAGAGCACTTAGGCCCAATAAGAATTTCCTTCCTAACCTAGATTTTCAAAAAATCCCTACAAACCTTTAGGATTCTCGAAATTTATAAAAAATCTAGGATCATCCCCCTACTAAAACCCGGCAAACCAGCTAGCGACGCGAAATCCTATTGTCCCATATCTCTACTTGTCCGGCAGCCAAAGTATTTGAAAAATGCCTACTGCCGATCATCTCAAATCATCTCACAATTAGCGAGCCATCAACATGGTTTTCACCCACTTCACTCAACAACAACAGCTCTCACTACGATGGTTACCGACATCGCAAACGGACTAAACCAAAAGAGGCCAGCTCATCATACAATTTTAACAGCACTGGACCTCACAAAAGCCTTCGATATCGTTAACTATCGTACCCTAATCTCTGACCTCCTACTGTCAACGCTTCCACGGTCAATTGTCCGCTGGCTTTCAAACTATCTGCACGGTCGCTCACATCTGCTCACTACGATGGTTACCGACATCGCAAACGGACTAAACCAAAAGAGGCCAGCTCATCGTACAATTTTAACAACACTGGACCTCACAAAAGCATTCGATACCGTTAACTATCGTACCCTAATCTCTGACCTCCTACTGTCAACGCTTCCATGGTCAATTGTCCGCTGGCTTTCAAACTATCTGCACGGTCGCTCCACCTCAACAGAGTTTCATCGACAATCCTCAAAATAACGTACCATCCGTTCAGGAGTATCTCAAGGATTAGTATTGTCACCAACTCTGTTTAACTTCTACGTTTCCAAGATTCCAACCCCGCCTCAAAACATCAAAGTAATTTCCTATGCAGACGACTTCACAGTCTAAACCACTGGTCCGGATGCAGATAGTCTGACCCACCAGCTCAATTGTTACCTGCCGAAGCTCTTTGATTTTTTCAACAACAGAAACTTGGAGATTTCCACCTCCAAGTCCACAATCATTCTTTTCACTTCACACACATCACAATATTATCACCAACCTTCAATCAAAATCAATAACAATCTCCTTCCTCTTGAGCACAACCATAATATATTAGGCCTCACCCTAGACACGATGCTTTCTTTCTCACGACACCATAACCAAGCAGCATCGAAAGTCTCTAAAAGAACCAACATTTTAAGTGCACTCAGCGGTACTACCTTCGGTCAGGATAAGGAAACTCTTCTACAGACCTACAAAACTATTGGTCGTTCAACAATCGAATATGCCTGTCTTGCCTGGGCACCACTGACGTCAGATTCAAGTTTTTCCCGTCTTCAACGCTCCTAGAATGCTGCACTACGTCTGGTTACTGGTTGCCATGCCGTCGCATCAGAACGACATCTGCACTCAGAATGCCAGATGTTAACGGTAAGGCAGCATTTAGAACTAATAGCCTCACAATTCCTCCTCTTATGCCATAACCCAAGCCACCCGTGCCATAATATCATCATACAACCTCTTCCGAGTCGTGACATAAAAACCACCCTCTAAAAATGGTCTTCAACAATAAATGCGGTTCTACCCACAATAATCGACAATAACACTCTGAAGACAGCTTAAAAGAGCCTACATACAAACACTGCTAAAGCCGCTGCTGATAATGTTCAGCATTTGTTTAGCTGTACCCAAAACTCCACGGATTTTCAACCAATAGACTTCTGGAGCAACCCTGTTGCAGTGGCGGATTGGCTCCGACCTCGATTGTATCCTGAGGGCCCCCCGGGAGGGGTAACAACAACAATAACATTTATTATTGTTTTTTTGCTTAAAAAAATGCTAAACAAATTGATGAAATAGTTGAATTATGCCAATGTACTGAAATACAGTTATTCAAATTTTTTTATTATGATTTATTTAAGTATAAATTCAAGTGCTTCTAATGATATGCACAGAATGTTTTACAAATAGAATTTGTTATAATTATTGTGAAAAAAACCTTGTTCAAATATTTTATTATTTAAAAAAAATTTAAAGGACGAATTCTTACATATCCTGCTTTTGTAAAACACGGAGAAAAGATTAATTGTTTTGTCAATCTGCTGTCATGGGAAAAAAATTTACTTTTGACAGTGCCTAATTGTTATTTCCTTTTGGATCCCAAAAACTTGACTCACATGGCCTTCCATTTCATCAAAAATAGGTTACTATTATTTGTGATAAAAGATTGTTTGTTTTTTTATGTGAAAACGTTGACAAATTTGAAAAAAACAGTTGAGTTAATAATACAATTTTCACTATTTGGTTTTGATAAAAAGATGATAAAAAAATATAATTTTTTATGCCAATCTAAATTGAGAATTTAATTCAAAAAGTTTGCCAACCAAAGTAATTATATACATTTTCCTTAATCTGGCTTCTCACATCACCTTAATGAAGTGTAGTTTAAAATCAAATCAATAATTTTAGGTCTTCATCTTTCCAAATCAGTCACCGATCTTTTCATTTGGTTTTAAAGATTATGCGTTTTCTTTTTACACATTCACAGGCCCAAACCATCTCAACTTTTTTATTACCAACACTCTATTTTTTTTTACTTTGAGCCAGTTTCTCTGTTTGCATTTTTGCTCTTCAGTATTATTTTTTAGTATTTTCCAACGGTGTAAAAACAAATTTGCACATACTGACGATTTTGGGTTACCAGAGCAGTCTTTACCAGCCAATCTGCCCCTACTAGTATTGAACTCAACCTTGGAAATCAAATAACAAACGCAATAATATCAACAACAATAATAGTTTTATCTTGGCTTCTTCAGCATTCATCAACATCAACATGATCAACAATAATGCTACAAGCTTCCGAAAAACGACGTTTCAAAATCATCATCGCCAGGTAGAATGTTAAAAATTGTGTAAATCAACAGTATTTGCGTCCAAAATAAACTAGATGAGCTAAAACACCACCTCACTACCTACCAACGAAATTCAAATAGCAGCAATACAAGAAACCAAACTCATAACACTTGGAATTTTATAAATACACAATTTATTGTACCGGTAGGAAATGTGGAAAAAGCGATGGACTATTCATGCTCATCTTCAACAACATTTCATTTGCTACTTAAACAGCTACCGGGCATTGGCATCATTGAATAACTATCAAAGCTAAGAATACTGAAATGAATACCATAAACATTTAACATTCCACCTCAAAGTTCATGCAAATCAAATATCAAAGCATTGATGTCCTATCTTTTTTTCATTACCAAACCTAATATTACTTAGCAATATCAATGCTCTTGACCAACTTTGGTATTCAAATATTCTAAATATTCGTGAAGAAAAAATGGCTCCCGAAATCGAAAACTTGAGTTGCGGTAGGTACGTTTCACATAGACACAGCCATCGGCTTACGTACTTATGAACAACCTATAGCACTTAATTTTACAATTGCTTTTGTTTTAATATTCATTATGAAATAGCACTTTCTTCTGACCATCTTCCTTTACACTATTTTAGCAACTTATGAATTTACAAAAACGTCTAAAATTACATTCACAAATTTTGCCAAAGCAGATTTGGACATGCACACGATTGAAGACGAAATAGCTTTTACAAACAAAACCCATCCACAGCTAGAAATCAAATTCTAATTACAGCTAGTAAACACAACATCCCAGCAGGTTGCCACATTCAATCCAAACCTGGAATATAAAAATAAATAACAAAAATCATGAAATAACGTAAATTCCGCTCCATCGACCCAACATTATGTAATATTGCCCAACTCTTCAAATTCAACAAACATCAAATCACTTCAAGATAATTCGATCGAAAAAATATTCCAAACACTTTCAATTGCCGCACCAACATCAAGCATCTCTGGAAAACAATAAAATCTCTAAAAAGAAAAATTGAACAATCTTAAAACAAGGCTATTAACTTCAATGGCAAAACAGTCAATAACAACATAGCTAGCCAATCTTTGTAACAAATTTGTTACCTCTTTTACTTAGCACTCAGCCAACAAGCACAACATAATTTCAATCCGTAAAACTAATAAACTTAATCTTCCCGATTACCATATTTTCAATCCTGATTAAGTTAACGAAGCCATAAAATAATCTTGATTATCAAAAGCAATTGGACTAGACAATCTAACTCTCTTTCATCTCAAATACATTGGACAAGTCGGCATTACACATCTAACGAATATTTTTAATGAATTGCTAAAAAACTACAAAATGCTCAATATTTACAAAACCTTACTCAAACTTGGAAAACCTGAAAAAAACCAAATTATATTGTTTAATTTCACTACTATTTCTGCTATCAAAGTTTTCAAAAAATGCCTATATGCTATAAAAACAAACATTTAATCACGGTTTTTGACCTGGACATTCAACAACTACAGCACTTACCCCCCAAACATAGTCAACGGTTTTGGCCAAAAAAAGATTAGCCCATCGAACACTTGTAACTGGAATAAACCTTGCAAAACATTCAACATCATCAACTATCATATACTAATCAGGTACGTCATTTATTTTACTTTTCTACAATCAATTTATTTGATTTAAAACACGGTTCAACAGAACTTTGCCACCAATCATCAAAACAACGTGTCATCCTCACTGGTGTATCTCAAGACTCTGCTCTATCTTCAATTTTTTGTAACTTCTGTCTCAAAAGTACCTCAATCTTTTCCTATCACGAAAATCCTATCACGACTTTGCCATCTACTCTAATGACCAAGATACAAATCACAACTACCTCTAAACACTTCACGACTTTTTTACTTCGCGTAATCTCTACAGTTACTCTCATTACATTTTAGATTGACCAATACCATTATCATCTTCAAGTCAAAATCAACAATCAGTTACTACCGCTCGAATACAACCCCAAAATTCTTGGCTTTACTTTCGACATCATGGTAAAGCTTATGTCTAATATACATTTGTATTATTATTATTATTTTTATTAAGAGAAAATTTAATATATCGTTCGTTTGAGGAACCACAAAACTGTTCAAATCGTCACACCTCAAACGCACACCAGATGCAGTCGGCGTTAATTTCAGTTTATCTGAAAAATATTATGGAGCCAGACCGTTTAGTGACTTAAAAACTGTGACAGAGATTTTAAAAACAATTTTTTTATTTATGGGCAGCCAATGCAAATCATTCAGGATCGGTGTAGAATGATCATACCATCGACATCCAACCACAATCCAGGTAGTACGGTTTTGAATCGATTGCAGAGTTTTGACAGATCTAGCCAGGAGTCCATAAAACAAACCATTGCAATAATTGACCCCTGAGTGCACCTTGCGTCTTTATCAAGTGATTCTCGAATCTGTTTCATTCTTCTAATCTGTGCCAAGCATGATATAGAAATCATTTTAAAATGAGATTTCATTGTTAGGTTTGAATCAATTATAAAACCTAGGTTCGACACCGCTTTACAGATATCTATTTTTTTATCATTCCTAACAACTGAATTTATACCCAAGTTGTATATATGTATATACTAGAGCAACTGATCATATTTTTATTGAAATGGAGATTTGTTTGATCTAAGACGCGCAGCAACGCACGCAGCAGAGAGCATAATTATCGACTGATAATTCAAAAAATTGAGTTATCAAATACTACAGACATTTTTTTCATTACTGAGACTAATAAATTGGTACAAAAATTTCAAGTTTTTGTCTTTAATCGATATCGAGAACGTACTTGCCAGGATCACAACATTTGATACTGTATTAATAAAATAATTTCTTGCTGCTGATAGACATAATCTTTTTTCATTCCAAATAACAAAGATGTATCTTGAAAAAAGTGTCCTAAGTTTCAAAAATTTTAATTAACGTGTTCATCTTTTCAACTTTATCCACAACCTAACTCTTTTTAATCTCAAAATCCTTGGACACACACACACACGCGCGCGCGCACACACACACACACACACACACACACACATATATATATATATTTTTTTTCCTTAATCCTAATATATATATATATATATGTATATATATATATATATATATATATATATATATATATATATATATATTTTATTGACTAAAACCACAGCATGTTCGGCGTTAGTTAACTTTCAATTTAACTTTAAATCCACCGAATTTCTAGCGTTGGATAGTTTTTTTTATTACATTTTTCAATGTTTCGAACCAAATTCTTGTCGTCATTATCAGTTGTCTCAAAAACTAAGTGATTATGAAAACCAGTGGATACAAAGTAATATCGACGATAACATTAAACAAGATATTACCAAATGCTTGAAAGAATTTGCCAAAAGCTACCAACATATAATCAATTTGAACAATCGCAAGATAAATAAATAATAACGAAAAAAATTTGGTTCGAACTATTGAGAAATATAATAAAAAAACTATCCAACACACTTTTCTGATGTAGGAAGCAGAACAACAGAATTAGATAGAGTCACTAAATTACTCGCTAATAATGGATGTAAAAATTCCATAATACACAAAATAATAGAACGCAAAGAACAAAAAATCAGCAGCAACAACAACAATGCAACTAACAATAACAACAGTATTATAAAAACCACTTGTCAACTGCTTTCGAACAGGATGAAAAAAATCATAAAAAGAATCATATAAAATAACGTTCAAGCAGCAAACGAAAACGATAGTATTAAACTACGAGTATGTTACTCCAAAAAACGTCTTCTCTTGTGAAGGAAAACAACAACACTAGTAAGCCAGAATCGATAATGGATCATAGCCATCTAATATATCTGTTCAAATATAATACTGCTGAGTGTGGGCACCATAGTTCTGAATATATTGATATGACGACGACCAAGCTATCGAGAAGACTCACGATGCACGTACAAACAGGCGCTATAAAGAATCACATGAAAAAGAAACACAAAACTAAAATTACTAAGCAAATCTTGGATAACAAATGTTGAAATCTTACATTAATGCAACAACAGTTATAATTTACTATTAGCCGAGTCAATACTCATAGAACAAAGACATTCGATAATAAATATTCAACAACGTGCAATTGGAATCCTTCCCACTAACAAATTTTAGAAACAGAGGAATCATCGATAATGTGTCACCTAAAAGTGTCATATTACAGAAAGTAGAAAATTGTAATATCTAATTAAATGACCGTTAAGTATTCACATTAAACAAAAAATTAACATTTTAGAGGCACAGGATATATATGTTTGAACATTCGGCTACATGCACAACGTATCAATTCGAACATCGAAGATGGTATAGGAATACCGAAAAAAGCTTTTTTGTTCTACCTTGCTTAAAATAAATAAAAATTTGAATTTCGAACTCAAGAAACTTGACAATGATTTACGATCTACCGTTAGAAAAATTAAACAGGAAGTTATCCAACGCTGAACATGCTGTGATTTATATCAATTAATCAATCAATCAATAGGAAACTTATATAGCGCCAATTAAATGTTCTCAAAGGCGCTATCGTAGTTATTTAAACATAGAAGTCTACAATACTATTAATAACAAAAAAAAATTTGAAAAAAAAAACTTTAACAAAAAAAACAAAGTTTAACAGTGAACAAATATGTTTTAGTACTTTTTTAAATGTTCTAAAAGACAGTCCGGACTGTAACAAGCTGTTCCACACGGTCGGACCTGCAACAGAGATACTCCGTGCATCAATCTGCAAATGTGAAACCGGTATTGTCAACAAATTCATATCATCTGACCGTATATGAGACGACGCAGACATTTTTTTGAAAATTTTTGAAAACAACATCACAAACTTCATCCTGCCAGTTACCAATTTTGCAGCCCTGTTCTGAATCGAATCGACTGAAAAAGAGCAATTGACCTTCTTGGAAGTTATATAAACTTTATATATA